CAGTAGACTCTCCAAAAAGTCCTTAATCGGCTCTGATACCACTTGTTAGAGACTAAGGACGGAGTCTATGAAGATTAAGGGCCGAAATATCTCAAAATGGCCAACTAAAATTCTGGACAGAAACGATCTCGTCACAAGTAACGTTGTCGACACAAAACGCTCTGTCAAAATTCTCTCAAACTCAAGTATGTTGTAGCCCTTTAACGTGGCTATCTTTCCCAAATTGAATAGTATCAAAATATCGATTATAGCTTGAGTTATGAATTTCGGTGCACTAGGGGGTATGCTGCCATAGAAACTTAACTCAATCACAAAGTTGTCTCACAAGTTCACACAAGTAAGTTGGAGTCGCAATTGAACCAGGTAGGAGGGGATGAGGAGGACAAGAGGGAAGGTCCCAAGGGAGTCCCCAACCAAGGAAACCCCATACCACACAATTCCCCTCTCTATAGGCACCCCAACTTTGACATTTGTCACTTTCCCAACGCATGCCATCCACCTCACCCAACTTGGCCACACTTTCCAACCAGGTTTGGCTTCTCCCAACCACTTGGCATCATCTACAGTGATGGTGACGAATTTCCCAACCCCCAAAAGTCTGTACCCCATATTGAGTCACTCCACAAATTCCCAAAGTCGTCGCATCACAATCAAAACGTCGAACGATCATATCTTTCTCGTTCTTGTTCCAATCGCAACGATTCTTGGTTTGTCGGAAAGCTCTTGAGCAGAGGAGTCACTTCAGATATCTGTCCAGGCCAAATAGCATTCACACACACTCAGAAAATCCAAACCATGCCAAGCACAAATTCTTGCACACACCACGCATGCAACGCACGAACATATGATGGGAGGCAGACAGACGTGAATGCAAATGATAGCATCACATAACAGGTTACACTTTCAGCCTTGGCTCCAGCTCTGTTTCCTGGCAGTCTACCCGCTCGTCTTTGGTTCTCAGCTCCAGTTGTGAGGCTGAGATCTACGCAGGGGCCATGGCTACACAGGAGCTACGCTGGCTCACCTACCTAATGACTGACTTGGGAGAGTAGCCTCGTTCGCCTCCGGTTCTGTACGTAGACAACAAGGCCATGATTGCCTTGTGTCAAGAGCACAGACTGGGGCACAGAATGAAGCACATGTTCTGCGATACTTCCTTACTCGAGAGTTGCAGCAGCGTGGCCAGCTTCGTCTTGCGTACGTGGCCACTAGGGCCAACACTGCTGATATATTCACCAAGGCACTTCCGCTTGGTGATCATCAGCGCTTCTCTACTGTGTTAGGCCTTGTGCCTACTTTGCCTCACTTGCTCACTGCGTGACTTTGCTTGTACTGTGATATATATATACATATACCTGCATGCTTACACTTGCTAGGGTATGATCACTGTATTGTTTGTTCTCTTTTATATAACTCTACATTTGAACTGGCCTTGTGGCCCTTTGCTTGTGCTCGGATTGTGTGGTGACTTTGTGATCCACCCTGAGCTTGCTTTGCTTTTCTTGACTGGTCTTGTGACCACTTGTTCTCCCCCACTTTTTCTATGGGGGTGTGTCAGAATGTTATAGTGCGTACATTTGTGTAGGCTATAGTGGGGTAGCCCATAAGGGGTACAACCCAATTAAGGTTAGTACTTGTACCCAACTGTTTGCTAGTTGATTCATTCTCGTTCGTTATTCCTGACAGCAGCAACCCAGCTGGGCGTTGTCGTGATGACTTCATCGCTTGGCAGGTCGGGCAAGCTGACACGTAGCGCTGCACGTCCGATGTCATGTTGGGCTAGTAACAATTCCGCTGCAGCAGCTTCAGTGTTTTGTCAACGCCGAAATGCCCGGAGAGGTTAGAGTCGTGAATCTCCTGCGTCAGCAACTCTCGTAAAGGTCGGTATGAAGGTACCCAAACTTGGTTGGTACCGACTTTTAGGTAATAACTCCTGTGTGGCGTGGTGACCCGTTGGAGTTGATTCGTCCTGAAAAACCGGTTTGTCTTGTATCCGTGCTTGAAGAGTCCTGATAACAATGGGTTGGAATGGGTGATTACTACAGCGGCGGTCTGCATTGATGGGCGGGTCAGGGTGTCGGCGATGTTGTTGGCGCCTTCTTGTACGTGATGGTGTAGCGGAAGTTTGACTCGAGTTTATGGAGCCGCCGGATTTGTCGCGGGTTGAGCTGTGGTTGGCTGCGCATGTTCTATAATGATTTGTGGTCTGTCCTTCTCGTGACGTCGGCTCTCGTGAGATAACAGCGCCAGGTACGAAATGCATGCACGATGGCGAGCATTTCTTTGTCGAGTACAGGGTAGTTGCGCTCGGGCGGCTGCATTTTCCGTGACTCGTACGCGATTGGTTGCAGCCCGTTGCCGAAATCCTGTAGAAAGGACGGCGCCGATGGCGAAATCGCTGGAGTCCGTCACGACTTCGAAAAGTCGAGATGGGTCTGGCAGCCGAAGCACCGGGGGTGAACTCAAAAATTTCTTGAGCTCGTCGAAGGCCAACTGTTCTCTCTCCCCCCAAAGAAATTGTGTGCCTTTGTGCAGTAGATTGGTTAACGGCCTGGTTACCCTCGCCATATTCAGTAGTTAACGAAGCCGAGGAAACTCTGCAACTCCGTGATGTTCGTAGGCGGCTTCCACTCTGAAATTGTTGTCATTTTGCGAGGGTCGATTTTAATACCCTCTCCCGAATCTACGTGCCCCAGGAACTCCAGCTCCGGCTGTAAGAACTCGCACTTAGACCCCTTCGTAATCAGTCTGTTCTGCTGCAAGCATCGGAACACCTCCTCCAAATCCCGTAAATGCTCCTCCCGAGTCTTGCTGTACACCAGGATGTCGTCCAGGTACACAATAACTTGACTCCGCGTCAATCGCGGGCAGGACACCTGTCCATCTTGACTCCGATTTTTTTTGCCGTTGCCAGGTTGACGAGACTGTGGCTCGCCCCACCGTCAACAAGTATTTTTATTTTATGACCGTTAACCCTCCCCACGTTTAGCACAGGGTGATCCACGTGTTCATCCACTTTATTCGTCCGGTTGCGGTCGATAGCCCGTATCGGTACCACTACTCGGTGTGGATGGTGATTGCCGGGCGACGGGATCTCGTCAGTAGGTGGCCCGACTGCTACTGACTCGTCTCTTTTCCCAACCCCTCTCTGATGTTCCTGTTCCCCTGTTTCAGCTTCGGGCAGTCTTTCCTCCAGTGGCCCGGTTGGTTGCAGTTGAAGCACGTGTTTGGTGCACGTCTCGGCGCATCCACACCGTTGATTGTGGTCTGGTGATGCTGTCCACAAAATTGATTTCCCTCCCTAGAACTCATTCTCGCCCACCGCATCAGCGCGTCCGTTGATTCGGCCAGCTGGACGTCATCGTTGAAGTCGCCTGGCCTCGTTCATCGCACTTCATATTGCACCTCATATTTGAGGCCTGCGACATATCGATTGAGTCGCTCCGCGTCACTCATGTCGTCCACTTGGTCGGCCAAGGTGCAGAACGTCGCTGTGTAGTCTTGGACCGATGTCACCTGCTTCCAGGCGCGCAGCTTCATGCGAGTAGAATCCGAGGTGGATACATGCTCGAATCTGGTTCGCAGCGCGGCGCCCCACTCCGTCCATGTGCGTATCGTGGCCACTCCGAAGATCGAAGTTGCTAGTTGCATGACAGGTGTCCAGGTCCCGTCGTTTGCACGTGATATCCCTGCCGAAGTCCCCTCTGTTAGATGCGTGCGGCGCCACCACTCCAACGCTGCTCCTCGTAACAGTGACACTGCAAAATTAATGCGGGTGGCATCATCAGCAATTTGCGCAGCATTGAAAAAGACCTCCACGCCGAACAACCATGCAGACACAGTGACGCCTTTATCATTGGGGTTGAACGGGGGCGGGTTTGTCGGTTTTATTTTAACAGTTGTAGAAACCGCTGCTACCGCATGCACTATGGGCGCCGTCGAAGCGATCTCCGGAGTTGTCGCTGGTGCCTGTCGTGGCATTGACTGCGACAGTTGCCTCGGCATTGCTCATTCCTGTTGTCGTTGCTCGGGCACTTCTTCTGCCTGTTGTTGTCGTGCGGCCCACTCGTCTTCAGCGTCTAGTGAGCCCTTTAGCTCACTGAGCACATTGCCGTCAAGCGATGAACTACTACTTCCTTCGTCCACGACGGGCGACTCCTGGTGCGCTTCACCTCGCGCCTGGCGTAGTTCGGCGTTTTCCACCCTCAGGCGCTCCAACTCGCCAGACATAGTCTGCATGTTGGCTTGCATCGCCCGAAAGTCCTGCATGAAACCCTGATCCATGTTTCTCAGGCTCCTCCTAACGGGCAGGGGGTTAACAACGATTTTTATGACTTCGATGAAGGCGCAAACGCTATTAGTCGGAGCGAAATAATTGTATCTATTTCTCAACCGACCGCTTTGCAGCCCACCACCAAGTCTATCGCACCCCTCCACTAAACTACCTCGGAAATTGGTGGGTAACCTACGAAAGTAGCTCTGATGCCAAGTTTTATGAGTTGTACGAAAGAAGAGTGCGCAGAATGCAATATCGCGGAAGTGATTACAACTACTGAGCAAATAATGAGGCCTAGGGCAAATATAGCGAGGGCTAGCTAGGCCGTGGTTGCGGGACCACGCAAGGTCGGGTGCAGGTTTGGGGTTGGGAAACCCGAAGGCGACGAGAGGGACGTTTGGAAGGCGAGGTCGTCGGACCGAGCCTGATGCCCGAAAGTCGGAATTGTACGCGCACTGAGTGCCTCTGTAAAGAATTAGGAAAATTCCTGACAGGAGAACGTCTGGAAATTTATGTGCAAGTGAGAGCTACAAATGTGGTGGGGTGAAGATGATTAGCTAAGGGCTAACAGCTACCTCACATCCCTTTTGCTCAGTAGCTAGAATTAAGTTACAACAATCTCTCCACCTCTACCCATATGGTTTTGGGCTTGAGCAATGCCACATTCTATACACAACTTGCTTTAATGATATTTGTCAATACTGTCACAACTTGAAAGCATGTGCTACCAGCTAGCAGCAAGAGTAGGTGCAGAGAGAGCAAGCGTTTTGGGGCGGGCATGGAAAGAGGTGTGCAGCACAGCTTGCGCGGAAGGGGAGAGGGGCGAGCCCAAGAACTGTGAGTAGATCTGCTGGGCTAGCGGATTGGCAAACGGGCTGCGCGTTTCCACCTGCGATAGAGACAGTCGAGATTGGTGCAGGGATTTGCAGCGGAGTGCAGGCAGGTGCAAGGAGCACAGGGAAATGTGAGTGGGGTGAGAAGGTAGAGAGGAGAGGGGTCGCGGGAACAAGAGCACAAGACGAACACATGCATGTGGAACTTGACGCACCAAGGAGCCATGAGCTCAAGAAAAGGCCCGAGGCCTGAGGGAATGGGGAGGAAATGGGAGAAGGGTGGTGGCAGAGAAATCTGAGCCATGTAATGCGCCCTCACCTGAGCCATGCAGTGCGCCCTCACCTGAGCCAGGTAATGCGCCCTCACCTGAGCCAGGTAGTGCGCCCTCACCTGAGCCATGCAGTGCGCCCTCACCTGAGCCAGGGAGTGCGCCCTCACCTGAGCCAGGCAGTGCGCTCTCACCTGAGCCAGGCAGTGCGCCCTCACCTGAGCCAGGTAGTGCGCCTCCAGGTCCTGCAGGTAGCTCCTCGTTGGCTGTGCCTTGCGCTGCTCCGGTGGACGCTGGCCCCCTCCATTCAGACACCCTGCAGTGCCGTGCCATCCCATGCGCCCCATGCAACCCATGCACCCACGCACACAAAATTGCGCCTTGAGAACCACAGAAGCACGTTGGAACAAACTACATGGAATGGTGAAAGCGACACATTGAGCATGGCAACGACCACCTTCCCATGAAATCCTCACACATTCTCCCCTCACCCATACTCACACCTGCACCTCTATGCTCCTCCACCCCCAGTCCCCCCGTGCCCCTCCCCCACCTCCCGTTCTCAGCTCCAGGGCATGCCATCACCTCTACGCAGTGTAACGAGTTGAATTATCAGTCACATCAAAAGCCAACTTCTGGCCCTCTCCCTCACCCCCACCTCCACTCCCGCTGCGCCTGCCCCTCCTCTCACCTCTGGGGCAAGCCATGACCTGCACGTGGTGCTGCCGAGTGACTTCTGATTGATCTCACGAGTCACCTTCTGGCCGTCTCCCTCACCCCCACCTCCACTCCCCCACTTGCCCAACCCCCCCTCCCTCTCATCCCAGGGAAAGCCATGTCCTCCACCTAGTAGCATGGGGGAACTTTCTAAGTCGCCTCAAGAGTCACATTCCGGCCTTCTCCCCACCCTCCCCCACCTCCAGGCCCCCTGTTCTCCACCCCTCTCATCCTCACCTCTGGGGCAAGCCATGACCTCCACATGGTGGTACGGAGCAACTTCCAAGTTGACTTATGAGTCACCTTCTGCCCCTCTTCACCTCCATGCCCCCTGCGCCTTGGCCTCCTCTACCCGCCAGGGCAAGCCATGAACTCCACATGCTGTGGTGGTACTGGTACATGCGACTTTCCCCCCCACCTCCAGCCCCTCTGCTACCCACCCCTCCACTCTCACCTCCCGGGCAGGCCATGACCTCCACGTAGTGGTACGGGCAGCGGCCCTGCTTGGCGCGGCGCAGCACGTTCTGAATGTTGCGGAAGCCGTACGCACACGCCACTCTCAGCACGTGCTGCCCGTCCACCGCCACGCTGCACTCGCGCATGTCCGCGTTGCGCACCTGCTGCCACTCCAGCGGGCCCGGGGGCACGTGCACACCAAACAGCTCCAGCGCTGCGTAGCGCAGCACGGCCTCCGCGTACCCGCCTGACCCGCCTGCTACTCCGTAGAGGTGGCCGCTGGCGTCCGCGTTGGTCAGCCTTGGGGGGTGCGGAGGAGGGAGTGGTGTGAGGGGGTGGATTATGGAGAGTAAGGCATGGTGGGTGAAGGAGAATGGAGAGGGTTTAGGGAGACGGGAGGCGAAAGTGGTGTGCATGGGAGTGTGCATGGAGCGCAGAGGCAGGCAGTCATGGGAGAACGGGGAAGGAAGGGAGGGTGAGGCGGCTATACTGGAGGTACGTTGGCGCAGGTCAACGGATTGGAGACGAGTGGAGGGTAGACAAGGGAGGCGTAAGGGGCAGGTGGTGGTGTGACGCATGAGGGGCATGTGGAGAGTGTGGCATGGGACAGCATGGGATGTGATCCACTGACATGGTACAGCACGGGATGTGATGCACTGACATGGTACGGCATGCAATGAACATCCGTTGTGGTGTCATGAAATGGTGGCACGAAATGGTGGCATGGCATGGTGGCATGGCATGGTGGCATGGCATGGTAGCATGGCATGGTGGCATGGCATGGTGGCATGGCATGGTGGCATGGCATGGTGGCATGGCATGGTGGCATGGCATGGTGGCATGGCATGGTGGCATGGCATGGTGGCATGGCATGGTGGCATGGCATGGTGGCATGGCATGGTGGCATGGCATGGTGGCATGGCATGGTGGCATGGCATGGTGGCATGGCATGGTGGCATGGCATGGTGGCATGGCATGTCATCATGGCATACATGGAGTCGAGAGGGCGCTCCTCCAGAGCCATGAAGTCCACTCCTTGCTCCTGCTCCCAGAGGTCGGTGTGGGCACATAGGATGGGGCACCGTGGAGCACAGAGGGGACACAGGGACACGGGTGAGGGTGAGGAGAAAACATGGGAAAGGGTACAATAGGGGCTGGGGGCGAAGCAGGCAGCGAGACACAAAGCAGACACACGGGCAGGGACCCCCCCAACAGCCTTCCTCACAGTGCACCTGCAGTAGAGCGAAGATCTCCCCTGACGTCAGCACACAGTCCACCTCTGTGAACCGCTCCCCGTCTCCTTGTGCATCTTCAGAATTCTCCCCCCCATCTTGTGTGCCCCCCTGCGCCCCCCGGGGCAGCAGGAAGTCGTCCCTGGCGGCTTCGAGCTTCTTGTCATAGCAGGGCATCACTGCCACGTGGTACAGCTGCTCTGGACTGGTGGGACAGAGGGGGGAGAAAGCCAATTCTTTAGTCGACTCAAGGGTTTCGGGTCTAGGGTTATCGCCACTTCAAGCTTCTTGTCGTAGCAGGGCATCACTGCCACGTGGTACAGCCTCTCTGGACAGAGAGGGGAAGAGGAAAGGTGGGGAACCAGGGCAAAAGGGAAACACACAGAAAGAGTCAGGCGACACGGCTGCAGTAGGAAATGGATACGACAGCCAGTGTGGGTGGAGGGAAAGGGTGAGTGGCTGCCCGCTGGGCCGCTGTGATGCACAAGGGTGGAGAGACTGCTCTCTGTGCACATGAATGCAGTGGGAGAAACGGAATGAGTGGCCACATTGTGGGAGGCGCATGGGTACAAGAACCCACCACGCCTCTGCGTTCACTCATTCCCTCCTTCCCACTGCATTCCTGGCACCCCTCTCATCGCCCCTCTTGTTGCAACTCTCAACCACTACTGCTGCCAGGGGCATGAGAGGCACGACAGCACGACTCACGAGGTGTTGAGCCTGGAGGCGTAGAAGCGTTTGAGCAGCGCGCCCATGGTCTGCTGGGCACTCTTCACACGGCTCATGTGTGGCAGTATGTACTCCCCGTGGGCCTTCTCCGCGTAGCACACCCACCCTGCCAGCCCATGGTGCATATGGTAAGGAAAGTGGAGAGAGGTGAAGCTGTAGGCTCATGTGCGGCAGGATGTGGTCTCCATGCGTCTTCGTCATGTAGCACACCCACCCTGGCCTCCCATGGATGCACGCACGGAGATGCGTATGGGAAGAGATGGCAAAGCAGTGGGTAGGGGCATGCACAGGTTCGTGCACAGGTTCGTGCACAGGTTCGTGCACATGGGCAGACGCATGGGCGGACGCATGGGCGGACGCATGGGCGGACGCATGGGCGGAGGCATGGGCAAACGCATGGGCGGACGCATGGGAAAAATCATAAGTGCACAGTAACCAGCTATTGGCCTGGCTGTGCCACGAGTCGTACCAGGGCAAGCAGAGGCGAGCACAGGCAGGTGTGGCAGCGAGTCAGTGGGGATGGGTGGCGGTGTGGCATTGGGAGGGGCGGACTGGCCAGACTTTTGTGCTGCCTCCGCACTGCTCTCTCGTGCTGCTGCTGCTGCTGCTGCTTCTGTTGCTGCTGCTGAACCTGCAGTTGGTACCATGTCTGATGGTGTTGATGGTGTTGCTCCTGCAGCTGCACGGTGATCGGAGGAGGCATGCGGCATAGCAGCCTGGCCACTGACAGACCCGTTCATGGTGCCCGCAGGGGCAGAGGCAAGGGCGGTGGTGGCATGGGCAGTAGCGTGGCGGCGGAAGGCGCAGACGAACTCATGGCAGGCCTCGATGAGCGCCACGTCCCTCGAGGCACTCGTGTCAAACACCGCCGCCACGCCCAGTGAGTGCAGGAACAATGTCAGCTTGCGGAAGGCCTGCCGGGGAGAGGTGGGTGAGCGAGGAGGGATGTACCGTATGAGGCAAGCATGGAGGTGTGGAGAGCGGGCAATGCGGCACAATAATTTCCCGCGCGACACACTCGTGTCAAACAAGGCTGCCATGCCCAGTGCGTGCAAGAACATCGTCAGCTTGCGGAAGTCCTGCGGGTGAGAGGTGGGGTGGGGAGAGAGGTGGGTGGGGCGACACGACAGGTTGATGGGACGACGGGGGGGAAAGGTTGGCATGCGTTTCGACACATGGGAGGAGGGTAAGAGCGAGCATGCAGGTGCAGAGAGCGGGAAAAAGTGGCACAACGTGGATTCATCAACGCAACCCCCCTTCGCCCTCTCGCTCTCCTATCCACACCTGCGCGTGCGTGCTCCACCCATGTGTGTGCCCATACGTGAGTCGCACCTGCAGGGGAGTGATCTTATAGTGGGCCGCCAGCGCTGCTCGTGACTGCGGTGACAGCGACACCACCACCACCTTGCGCCCCTCACCCCCCTGCCCCCCGTCCCCCCCCTGCCCTGTCTGCCCTGCGCTGTCCACGTGGGCGCCTGGGTGCGGCAGGTGGTGCAGCATGTGGTGCGCGCTCTGCTGCTCCAGCATCACCGTCTCCGCCGTCGTCACGCACCCACTGCCATGCCGCGCGGGGGAGGGGAGGGGGGGAAGGAAGGGAGGGGGGAAGAAGGGAGCGCGCGTGAGTGAGAGTTGGGGGGGTGCATGGAGCGAACAGCACAAGGGTGGCAAGCTGACGAGCGCTACGGCTGTGTAAGCACCGTGAAGCTACAAGCAGCAGCGGCGCCACACACCTGCACGCGAGGCAGTCATGCAGAGTGACCTTCACTGCCTCGCCCTCGCGCCCTTGCCTCGTCTGCTCGAATCCCCCTCCGCCCGTTCCCCGCATCTGAACCTCCCCCGCTGCGCCCACACCCTGCAGCGCGCCCGCGCATAGGGGGTCCGGGGGGGGGAGAGGGGGAGGGAGAAAGACGTGAGAAGGACGGGAGAAGGTGACGAACGGGACGAGAGAGGGGGATAAGACGTGGATACATGATGCACCCCTGCGCTGATGCATCCACGAATCCATCGATCCATCAGCAAGCCCGCTCCTTCGCCCCTCCCGTCTCACCTCTCCCCCACCCACGCGCTGCCCCTGCGCGGTGACGACGCATGCCTGCGACGGTGCGATAAAGTCGTTCAAGTCCGTTAGTCGCAGCGCCGCCGAGAAATTCGACATCGCCAAGATTTACGGACGACGTGCTGCGCAGTGGGGTTCTAGAAACTAGCTGCTATGTATGGGATTTTACAAACTTCGGAACGACGTTTGGTTTGGGGCAGTAAATGTCTTCCTTGGGACAGCGGGAGTATTTGGATCAAATACTTTTGGTTCTACGGAAGTACAATCCACTGTCTATTACTAATAGAAAGAAACTTTAATGGGTATGTCGGCTCTTTGCAAAATGTGTTTGATTCTCAGTTTCCAAAAGCTTTTTGTTAAGGATGTTACAAGCTGATATGAGGTCTGTAGGATCGTCGCAGGTTGATCGCGGGTCTTGTAGCGGCAGAAGATTGCTAGGAGATTTAAATCTCGACAGTGTGAGAGAATTGAGGAATGAATGATTGAACTAGAAACAAGGTGGGTACAAGTAGACAACACAAAAGTGTTGTACCATCTAGGAACTACCCCACTACAGCCTAAACAGACTATAGCATATATAAGTTTGACACACCCCCATAGGCAAAGTGGGGGAGAACAAGGGGTCACAAGACCAGTCAAGAAGGTAAAGCAAGCTCAGGGTGGATCACAAAGTCACCACGCAGTCTGAGCACAAGCAAAGGGCCACAAGGCCAGTTCACATGCAGAGTTATATAAAGGAAAGCAAACAATACAGTGAACACAACCTAGCAAGTGTAAGCATGCAGGTATAAGTATATAGAGTACAGTACAAGCAGAGTCAAGAAGTCAGCAAGTGAGGCACAGTAGGTACAAGGCCTAACACAGTACAGAAACGCTGATGATCACAAGGCTGAAGTGCCTTGGTGAAAACATCAGCAGTGTTGGCCTGAGAGGCCACGTAGGCAAGACGAAGCTGGCCGCGCTGCTGCAACTCTCGAGCAAGGAAGTAGCGCAGAGCAATGTGCTTCGTTCTGTGCTCCAGTCTGTGCTCCTGACACAAGGCCAGCATGGCCTTGTTGTCAACGTACAGAGCTGGAGGAGAACGAGGCGCCTCTCCCAAGTCGGTCAGCAGGTAGGTTAGCCAGCGTAGCTCCTGTGCAGCCATGGCCCCAGCGTAGATCTCAGCCTCACAACTGGAGCTGAGAACAGAAGAAGAACGGGTAGACCGCCAGGAGACAGAACCAGAGCAAAACTGAAGGTGTAACCCTGTGACGACCGCTGCGTAGCCAAGTCGTCAACCCAGGAGGCGTCAGCGTGACCAGTGAGGACAACTCGAGCCCGTCCTCCAAGGACGAGCCCCATGCCCGATGTACTGCACAAGTATCGCAACACCCTCTTCGCAGCATCCCAGTGCACCTTTCGGTGCCTACCGGGAGCCACGTAGCGAGCCAGAAGGCTGAGAGGGTATGCGAGGTCAGGTCGTGTGCAAGTCATCAGGTACATAAGGCAGCCCACAAGCTCTGGATACGGGCCACTCGGCTCTACGGACTCGTCCGAAGGTGGAGCTGAGAGCGACTGACCGGTAGGCAGAGGAGTAGACTGTGGCGAGGAGTAGATGAAGCCGAAGCGCTGAAGGACCTGCTGCACCATGTGTGACTGAGTCAAGGTAATGGTGCGCTGTGCTCTGTCCCGGGTGATCCGCAAGCCAAGATAGCTTGTCAGCTCACCCTGGTCTGTGCACGTGTGTCTCTTCTGTAGCTCGGACTTCACGTGGGCGAGTGCCTCCGTGTCAGCAGTAGCAAAGACGAGGTCGTCTACGTACACGAGAACGTAGAACGGCGGCAGAGTGGTGTCGGTGCGTAGAAACAGAGAAGGGTCAGCAGTGGAAGGAGCAAAACCAAGAGAAGCAAGAGTCGTCCTGAGCGTGTCGTGCCACTTACGGGGTGCCTGGCGGAGACCGTAGACTGGCCGCCGGAGGCTCCACTGGGTACCAGCAGGAAACGACCCAGTGAAGCCAGGTGGGCGGCGCAGCCAGATCTCCTCGTGCAGGCTGCCCTGTAGGAAGGCTGTGCTGAAGTCAAGTGAGTGGAGCTCGTAGTCACGCTGAGCAGCAACGTGCAGCAGTACCCGAAGAGTGGTCATCTTCGGGGTAGGGGAGAAGGTCTGAAAGAAGTCAACTCCCTGTCGCTGACTGAAGCCACGTGCAATGTAACGCGCCTTGAAGGCAGGCGGAGAACCCGGCGGCCGCTTCACCCTGAAGATCCACATGCCACTGACGATGTTCGCCCCAGGTGGGGGAACCTCGTCTACGTAGGTGCCTGTGGACTTCCAGGAAGCCATCTCTGCGTCCATGGCTGCCTGCCACTGAGAGGAGTAGGGACCCTCTATCGCCTCTGCGTAAGAGCGCGGGGTCGGGATGTCTAGTGCATCCGGGTCTGCCTCAGGGGCCAGCAGCATGGATACGAGATGAGGTACAGAAGCAGCAAAGCACTCAAACTCCTCTTGTCTGTCCTCAAGTACGTCCGTGCCAAGAGCACACTCACCCCCGACGGACGGAGGACAGACAGACACAGACGCAGCAACCAGACTAGCAGCATAGTCTAGGCGACAGGCAGCAGCAAAGTCAACAAGCTCAGTAACAAGAGCAGACGCAGCAGAGGACTCAAACAGAGGGTCAGTGACAGCAGTGACCAGAAAGCGCGTGACAGCTGGACTAGCAGCACGAAGGGAGTCAGACTCAGGGTCCGGACTGGCAGGAAGAGAGGACGCAGGAGGAGACGGCAGAGAGACACGCTGTGGAGCAGTAGAAGGACGCAGTGTCATAGAGTGAGTGCATTGGACAGGAGGGAGACGCTGACGCGAAACATGACCAGCGCGAACAGTACGGACAGGCGACGCAGCACGAGACGCAGGCGACACAGGACGAGACTCAGGCGCACGACGCTCCATAAGACCTCTAGTCGGTCCAGAGTAAGGACCGGGCAGTGGAGAGGCCGGCTGCAACTGTGACTGGGACCGGACAGGCGGCGGACTCACAAAAGGAGGAGGACCAGGAGAAGGCGGTGAGCTAAGAACCTGCTGAAGGAGCGGAACGTAGTACAGCCGCGGCCGCGCAGCGCCTCCAGAAACAGCAAAAACAGGACCGGTACCCTCAGCCCCAGGGTCTCCAGTCCCAGCAGCACCTCCAGCACCTCCACCAGCTCCAGCACCTCCAGCAGCTCCAGCACCTCCAGCAGCTCCAGCAGCAGCAGCATCTCCAGTAGCACCTCCAGCACCACCAGCACCAGCAGCACCTCCAGAAGCTCCAGCAGCACCTCCAGCACCAGCAGCACCTCCAGCACCAGCAGCAACTCCAGCAGCACCAGCACCAGCAGCACCTCCAGAAGCCCCAGCAGAACCCCGACAGAGCCGAGAGTACCACTCACGAAGGTGCTGTGGAGAGAGAGGCTCCCGTCGCGGCGGGACACCGAGAGCACCTCCAGACGCAGCACGCCCAGACTCAGCACCCCCAGACTCAGCACCCCCAGTCTCAGCACCCCCAGTCCCCGCACCCGCAGGCCCAGCACCCCCAGACTCAGCACCTGAGTCGACAGCTACCTCGACCGGCTCGGCAGGGTCTACCTGGGACACACCTGAGGGGGCAGGACCCTGGGGGGGGAGGGGGTCTACCGGGGGAGTACCTGGTGCCAAGAAGAGCGGCGGGGGGGGGGGAGAGGCAGTGCGGTAGGGAAAGAGACGGTAGTACGACACCAACTCGTCAAACGTGACGTCCTGAGAGGACAGAACACGACGCGAGGAGGGGTGGTAGAACTGCCACCCGGGTGCGTCAGGAGGGAAGCCAAGGAAGACACAGGGAACGGCACGGGAGGACAGCTTGTCCGCAGTAGTATCGCGGACAAAAGCTCGAGATCCCCAGACACGGAACGCGGACGCATCGCCAACCTTCCCCGTCCACCGAAGAGTAGGTGTGGTCTCCGGCAAGGAGACACGGGGCTGAAGGTTGATCTGATGCGCTGCGTATTGAACCGCGAACAGCCACAAAAAATGGGGAGCAGCCGCATGGATCATGGACGTACGAGCGACGTCCATGACCATGCCAATGCGGCGCTCAGCAATCCCATTTTGCTGCGGGGAGGCCGGAAGCGTGAACGTCTGGCGGATGCCCTCAGAACGACAGAAGGCTCTCAGGAGGTCGGAGGAAAACTCCCCGCCTCGGTCTGAGTGCAAACGCAGAACAGGAAGGTCTGAGCCGAAACTCTCACTAAGCTGGCGACGAGCACCGCGGATCCAGTCGATCAACACCTCAGGAACCTCACCCTTGCTGCGCAAAGGGAAGACTGTGGTGTAACGCGAGTAGTCGTCAACGACCAGCAGGAAGTAACGCTCGTGACCCTGTCCACGGACGCGGGCTGGGCCCCACATGTCCATGTGAAGAGTCTGCAGAGGAGCCTCAGTCGGAGGGAACGAGGAGGAGTGAGGGGCGGCGCGCTGCCGGCCCTCGACACAAGGAACACAGGTGGGGGCAGGCCCCGGAGGAAGGGGAGGGAGGGACCTGGGGAGACCAGAGACAAGGGCACGGGAGGCCATACCTCGAAGACGAGGCAGGGAGGGGTGACCAAGGCGGTGGTGCCAAAGGAGAGTCTCGTGCGACAGAGGACGACACGAGCAGGGGGCAGACGGAGGACTAGACCTAGACGCGGCAGCAAACACCTGACTAGACGCAGCTATCTGACCAGACGCAGAGACCGGAGGAGGCGCAGTAGTCAGTGTGTACAGACTCGACCCTGGCCGACGGGTGAACGTGGCCAGGTGGCGACCCGTCCGAGAGCAAGTGCAGTGGGTCACACGCTGACCTCCAGGGGTGAACTGGTCAACCCACGCGTCCTGGAGGTCAGCTCCACTCACCAAGTTCGTAGAGAACGAGGGAAGGTGGAGTCCCGACAGCAAGCCCGACGGGGCCGCAGGACACGGTAAAACTGTAGAGGAGCGTGCAAGGACTGGGCCCCCTGAGGGGTCAGCAAGGGAGACCGCAACAGGCCGGCTGAGCGGCGTGAGCGTGGTGCTGTCTCTAAAGAAAGAGCGCGAAGCACCAGAGTCAAGTGTGAAAGTGTGCAAGGCCT